AGGTCTGGGGTAACAGCATTCTGCAGGAAGCCCAGCCAGCCTCACACGGATTGCTGAGAGCCGCCCAGTCTGCACAGTAAGGAGCTCAGAAGATGGAGGCAAAGAATATTCTCTCCACATTTGCTAGCCTGCTCATCAATTGGTGAGTACATTCTGTTATTTCACATATATACACCAGAGCGGGTGGCAAGACATGAGCTTCCATAAAACTCGAATGAAAAACTTCACGCTGAGACCTCATAAACGTGCACGGTGCTCCTTGCAGGGACCAGTGTGGGTCTGCCCAGCCCTGCGGGACTGGCTAACAGGAGGACATACAGGGCCTGAGTTGATCTGACACAGGTCCGGCTCACGGGACATCCATAATAGGTGGGGAACGAAGCCGTCTGATGAGTAATTTAGAATTGGTTTTGGCTTTGCCCCTGATGTCCTATGGACTGGGTCACGGCTTGGGAGGCGTGCTGATGGGCAAGGCTGTGTCTCAGAGAAACCTTCAAGGAACAGATGCTCCTCGGCTTGGCTGTTTTAACCTAGAGGCTCTGCATCCTCAGCGTCCAGCTCGGTCCGCCTGGCCTGCTGCAGGTCCATCCCAAGAGCTGCATAGTGGCAAAGATGCTCAGCCAAGCTGTGCACCAAAAACCAAGCCCACTCAGGGCTGCATGCTGAGCAGTCTAGGAATGGAAAGTGGGGCTCTAGACAGAACTCTGTCTTCCACTCCCAGCTGGGAGCCTCCAAAACCAAATAATCCAACCTGACCGCCCTGCTCTTGAACGTCCATGCTCCCCTCCCGTATTTCCATTGCTCCTTGCCTACTCCCAGACACCACGAACATCACCCATTGTCACAGAGGGGCACAGTGCCCATTCAGAGTGACCACGGGACAATGGCCATCACAATCTAAGAAGCCCTTTATGCTTAAGAGGCCAAGAGGACTGAGTGGGCAACAAGAGAAAAATGACAATGAACTTCATCAACCATTTGCTCAGCACTTGATGTGAGCCAGCCTCCCTTCAACCTCATAACGGTCCTCTAAAGTGGGGGCTACTGGGACCCCCATTGTGCTGACTCGGGTGGGGGAGATGGGAGAAATATCCTCTTCACCAGATCAAGGTGCCAGTTTAACTTCTCTCGTCTCTTGCAGTGAGCGGGTCTCTAAATTTCCGCTCAGGGCTTTATTCCACCCAACACAAACCAGTGCCACTTCCAAGAAAAACGGCATGCCTTTCAGGGTGCTTCTCACCCCAGCAACCGACAGATGCCCTTGAAGGTACAAAATGGCATATAAATCAGGCACGAACTAATCCCAGGAGTTTCTCCCGCCTCTGAACCGCTTTGCACGACTTTCCAATCCACAACACCTGGAAACTTTGGCTCCCTCATTCATTCGGTTGTCAAAGAATTTCAGAGAACCTACCGTATGCCAGGCATTAGGGCAGTTAGCTGTCCCTGCCCACAACGAACCCGAAGTCCAGAGGGCAAAATAAACAAGATAAAAATTGCGATACAACTTAAAAACAGCATGCCTTTAGAATACAGATTCCAAGAGAATTGGGATTTTGTCTACTCTGCGCTGTAATGTTTTTTGAACTCCAGCAGTGCCTGGCACAGAGCATTTGATAAATATTTACTGAATGAAGAAATGGATGAACGTATGAGTGCGTGCACGCCATAGTGCACGTAACCCAGTAGGGATGATAGCATTTGTCCAAAGATGCCTACAGCCGCTCCTGATTCAGCATTTCCTAGTGTGGAACACAGTACGAGGCACATGGAGGCCCAGCCAGGGAATGCTTCCCGAAGGACGGAGTGAAATGAAGACACTGAAAGTGGAAAATTCAAAGCAGAAGGATCCTGTGCAGAGAATGGAGAAGCACACCCAGGAGGAGATGAAGCTCTTCCCAGTTAAAGGCAATGGGTTTTATAAACTCTCTTCACAGCCACTGAATGCCCTCTCTACTCAGATGTGAGCACTTCGGGGGAAAATTCTAGTAACTCCATAGTGGACACTGAAGCACAGATACTCTTACATCGTTCAAGTGACTGGAGCTAGTCCCGAGCAGTTCTATACTCAGAACTCCAGAACCTACAACTTTCGGAAGGCAAGTCGGTAAAGAGCTATGGGGAGGAGCGACCCCCACGCCTATTGCTTGTCTTCCCTCAAAGACAGGAAAGCCATCACTTTCCAGACACCCAAGGACAAGAATCCAGTGGCTTACCAAAGCAACTCCATAAAGCAACCTAAACATTCAATCCGACGGCTTCTATGGATTCAAGAAATTAAAAAGCAATGCTAACCTCCTGCCTCACTGTCGTCTCAGGAAGTCAAAGTAAATGCTGTCCCTTTAATTTACCCTTTTATTTACTGTGGATGCTACAGTGAACGGTTTTAATCTTTTCAATAAGCATGAATTGAGTATCAACTGTCTACAAGGCATTGGGCTATAGACGCCGTACAATGGCGGTCAATACATTCTATTGGAGGCAGACAAGAAAACAAAAGATGTAAGCTAGGAGCATTTCAGAGTGAGGGGTATGGTGACAACCTTGAACAGGATGAGGGGTTAGACAGTGAATGGTGGAGGATGACCTCTCGAAGGCCTCTGAGCTAAGACCTGAATGATGAGGAACAGGCATATGGGCAGTGCAAGGGGGAAAACAGCAAGAACAAAGCCCCCAGACGGAAATGAACTTGGGGTGTTTGGGGCAAGGAAAGCCACTGTGGCTGGGGCACAGTGAATGAAGAGCAGGTGGGACAGAATGCGTATGGAAAGACAAGGAGTCATCAAGTCAGTAAGGTCTGATAGGCCTCCGGAAAGATCTGGGATGCTAAGTGCAAGGAGATGCCACTGGAAACTCTTAAGCAGCAAAGAAACATGAACTGATTTTTGCTTTAAAAAGTTCACTCTAAAGGTCACCAAAACCGATACGTATTAGTGAGACACAGTGGTGGACTGGCCCTCACTTTCCCTGGCGCATAACACAAGAGATACCATCTGATAAAGACAGCATTCATCCACCAGCATCCACCAGAGTCCCGACAAACAAGTGGAAAGTACCACTCTCTTGGTGACCAGTTTCTTGGACTTCCAAGAATGTGCTTTCAAATAAGCTCACTTATTCTGAAACCCAGCATCCCCTCTTCCTGGGTCATTCCCTCCATGGAGGAGGGTTAAAAAAAAAAAAGGTTCTCTGCCTAAGGCTCATAAATCTCACCACTTTGAAACACGCCCTGGAAAGAGAAAGGAGTTGGTTGGTTTCCGGCGCGCCAGGGAGAAAGCCTGAACACCTTGCTCACATTTCCATTCGAGCACTGAACTGAAACTCCAAGACCAAGTAGGATCGGCAATCCCAGTTTGGGGGTGGGGGGGCCGGGCTCCTGATCGCTTTAGTTGGCCTGATGGGATGCTGGCTGCCAGCCCACGGAGTAATGCAGAAATCAAGATATTCAAGACAGGTCAGCTCGACGGTCATCTGCTAAACGACCAGGACAGGAAAACACTATTTCAGTGTCCAACATATCAAAAAAGCAGCCCACGTGAGGCTCTAACTGTGGCCATACCATGCCAGAAATCTGGGCTAATCTGACTCTGCTATTCATAAATTCTCCCTCATGTGAAAGCCCATGTGTTTGGGAAAGGGAAATGAATCCAAGTCAATTTTAGACATTGTTACTTGGAAACCATCTGGAGTCCCTGGAAGCAGAAGAAACCACCGCATCCCCTGCCCTCGGATGCCCACCAGAATTAGGGCAGTATGCTTACCTGGGAGTTTCGCGGGCCCTATTCCCCAGGGATGTCCCCACCCCCACCCTGCCGGATGCCAGCCAGGCTCCACTACCCACCCCAGAAAGGTATTTGGTTTCCGCGTAAACCTAGTGGAGAGCCCTCCATGTGTGGAGCCTGCACTTGAGCTGCACCCAAGGCTGGGTTCTCAGCTTTCCACTTCGCTTTAGAAAACTGCACACCTGAATTCCTTGGCCACACAGCAGCAAGGGAAATCCCTCCCCAGGGGCAGAAGTTCCATGAAAAATCCCCTCTACCCAACACCCCTGTGTTCACAGCATGTCTAGCTTTGGAAGAGACCCACCAGAATCCTTATGTAACGTTAATAGATGTTGGCACCCTGCAGAGCGGCTCCTGGAGACACTAGCCCAGATGTAGCCCATTTTCGAGGCAATGACAGCAGGCTGGGTCCTGCAGCTTCCTAGGGCCCGGCTCTTCCTGACTGTAGGGCCTCTCTGTTCCCCTCCCCTACCTGGCTGTGATCCTCTGCTTATCTCATCTTCCAGAGGAGTTGGACCTCCCTTTCTGCAGCCTCCCTCCCTCTACTGAAATCGGTCTTAGGACCAAGCCGACAGCAGCGCCATTCCACCAGCACCTTCCCTGCCCCCTCTCCCCCTCCCCCCTTCAGATCCCCTCTCCAACACCTATGGCCTTAAGAAACCCGGCCAATAAAGAGATCCAGAATCTCGTACAGTCATAGTCCCAGAAAACAAACACGGCAGGAGGCGCAGGCTCAGCTCTGCCAAGCCGACCAGGCCCAACACTTCCCCCCGGACCCCCCGGGAAGCCTGAACTCGGCGCAGGGGAGGGAATCTTCGGAGAGCGGGTCGGCCGCCTCCAGCACAATCAGAGCAAACACCTGTTTCCAGGAAGCCAGGCGGCCGGGGGCGGGGGGGGGGGCAAGAGGGGAGTCCCGAGGAAAGGCAGGGAGTACGGAGTGAAGGGGCAGCCGGGGACGCAGGTAAAGGATGCGTCACACTTTGCGCTTGGCAACCGGAGCCCGGGCGCAGCGGGCAGAGCCAGAGAAGGGCTCCCGGGGCTGGGAAGTTCCGAGAGGAGGGGTCGCGCCCGCGAGCAGTCTCGGAGGGGACAGCGCAGGGGCAGGCACGGCGGGGAGGAAGGGAGGGAGGAGGGAAGGGAGGCCGGGAGGCCGGGCGGGCTCCATCACCTGCGCGCCCCGGCGGCTGCAGCCTCGCCGGCGCGCACCGGGGGACCTACCTGCCCACCGTCTGGTTGGCCAGCTGGCGCATGCGATTGAACTGCTTCTTCATCGTGGCCCCGCTGCCGCGCTGGCCCGGGAGCTGGGCAAGGACGGAGCAGCCCGGAGCCCGCCGCAGGTTACATGGCTCCCGCGCGGAGCCTCCCGGGCGGCGGCGGCGGCGGCGGCGGCGGCACTGCGGAGCCTCCGGGAGCCGTCTGGCCCGCGCGCGCGGCTCCCTCCCCAGGGCACCGCCGCCTACTCCTCCGCCCGCCGCGGCGCCCGCTGCCGCATCCTCCTCACGCGCGCCGCCGCGCCTGCATAGTGACGCCCGCGGCCGCCCTCGGCGCCTGCCAGGACCGCCCGGCCGCCTGCCCCCAGCCCCTCTCCGGCGCGGGGACCCGGGAGTCTCCGCAGGCTGCTGGCCGGCTGGCCGGGTGGTCCCCGCTGCGCCTGTGCGGCGGGCGCCGTGCATTCTGGGACTTGTAGTCCTGCGCCCCGCTGCCCACCTTTCCGCGTGCAAAGTTTGCAAGGACAGAGGTGCGCGGCGGGCTTGGCGGGGGGGAGGAAGGCTTTGCACTGTAGCACTCCAGGAAGGGAAAGGTTTCGATGCTTTAAAAATAGCAAAGTGGAACCAAGACTACAACAGCAAAGAAGGAAAGTGAGCCTCTGTCTTCCATTGTATTTTAAGGGAATGTGAGGCATTGCTGTTTTGAATTCACAGGAAGGAGATTTATGCAGGCGGGTACGTGGTTCATAAAATTGCATAAGGCCACCTGATACTTGTTGAGGTGCCCAGTTAAGCTTCGGGCCCAGGTCCTGACCGAGCATAGCATGCATCCCAGAAGTTTCGTCCTTAATTTTTACCAAACACAAGAGGTAACCAGAGCCAAAATAGAAGGGTGTAAGAATAGTGTTAACTACCGTGCCTATGGAACCAGACTGACTGGGACAACTTTCTTGTATGACTTAGATTCCAGTCTCATAGCTGTTCCCATTTCCCTTGCACCTCCAGGGGACCAAGGGGCATCAGCTGTGGCAGGCCTGGAACAGTCTACACAGCAGTTTCCCATTGGCATCAGTTGGCTCCTTGAAAAGGGGTCCTGACCTTTGTGCAGGCTCCAACCTTAGGAAAAGGATAGGTGGTTGCAATTAGGTTTTATCATCCCCCTGTCAAGTAGTCAGGTGGTAGGGGCTTTGGATCAGATAACAGTTCGTATGTTGGACTTCTAAACACTAATTATATAACCTTTGGAAAAAATTACATAATCTCTGTAAGCCTTGGTTTTCCCATCTCTAATAGAGAAATAATATTGCCCGGTAGATAGCAAAGATAGAGAACTATTTGCTAAATTACCACTAATTAACATACATTTCTATGTAGTACATTATGTTATATTCGTTTACTACAAATATGATTATAGTTAGCATAATAGAGCAGAATGCCATTCCTACAACAGAATTACTAATCTGATAAATGAAAGAACTATTTTGCAATGGTATATTTTGCATATGTTGATTATAGTTGCAAGATGTCCTAAATATGGTTCAAAGTATCTTGCTGGCCTGCTGAACAAAAGATGGTTTGAGGCAAGTCTTGGCTGAATGAACATGAGATCTTTAATTAATTGTGAATTTAGCCTCTGCTTATTAGGTCAGGCAGCTCCAGCCAATTAATAAGTGAAGGCATGATTTGCTCTTAACCAACTGTGCTATGCTTATAATGTCAATATCATTTTTATACAAACTGACATTACGTCCACTTTGAGATATTTTTAACAACCAAGACACAGCATGGTATTTAAATGTATAAATAAAAGAGATATTAAAAGTCACTGTATGACTTTTAGCAACACTATCTCTAACATCTAGAACTGCACTGTCCCATACAGTAGCCACCAATCGCATGCAGCTATTGAAATTTAAATTAATTAAAATTAAATGAAATTAAAAATTTAATTCCTCAGTCATTTAGCCATATCATAAGTGCCTAATAGCCACACGGGCTGTATTGGACAGTTTAATATAGAATATTCCTATCCTCTCAGAAAGTTTTACCAGGGGGTGGGGGGTGGTGCCTGAGTGGTTCAGTCGGTTAAGCATCTGCCTTTCGCTCAGATCATGATCCCAGGGTCCTGGGATCAAGTCCCACAATGGGCTCCCTGCTCAGTGGGGAGCCTGGGGCTTCTCCAGCTCCTCCCCGCTCCTGTTCCCTTGTGCTCTCTCTGTCTCTCTCTCTCAAATAAATAAATAAAATCTTTTAAAAAAAAGAAAGCTCTATTGGACAACACGAGTACTAGGGAACTCCGTAAGACAATTCTAAAATTGTGTCAGTCTCTGTCTTCAATCTGGGGACATTTCAGTTCTAAAAGAGAACTTTCTACTTATCCACAAACACAGCCTACCCTGCTAGAGTTTTGTTTTGTTTTTTTTAATTAACCGATGGCTTCTTTACATATTTCCTGTTCTCCTATGAGCTTTTCCTCCACTCGAGAAGCAGCTCATGTTTTTTTCCTTCCTACCCAGGCACGGGATGACAGTGCAGAAAGAAGAGAAAGGGGTGTCAGGTCTGCTCATCTGATCTTTCAAAGCAGGCTTCAGAAACACGTGTGAGAATAGGCTTTTTAAAGAAAAGCGTCTTTGAGTTTCAGGAATACAGGCTTTGGAACTTTAATAGTCTATACCAAAAATGGTTGAGTCTGAAGAACACACCGTCCTGCCTTTTCTAGATAAAGAATTCCCAGGCTGTGAGGTGTTGAAGATGATGATAGGGGAGTGGAAGGGGAGAGAGGGAGAAGAAAAGGAGATGATACCTGTACGGATTTGATTATGGTTCAAAATTTCACTGCCTGTGCCTATGGAAAGGGATTATACTTCACCTTCCCGATGAGGTCAAGATCGATCATGCGATTCTCTTTGGACATAGAATATGCCCAGGGTGATTGGTGCCACTCCTGAGCAGATTGGTAGGAGTCATTTTGTGATCCTCCCCCCGCCTTTTTTCAGTCTGCCTTACGACCGGCAATGACCCCGTTAAGGGCTGCCGGGGATCAGAGTCACAACCATCCAGCGGGGGTGAAAAAGAATACCTTTGTGGTTGTAAGTCAGAGGTCTGGGGATTATTTGTTACAGCAGCATAATCAAGTCTGAGCTGACTACTACAAAGCATACCTCTAAGGAAGATCACTTGCTCCTGGCTCCTTCCCATGGTCAAAAAAAAACAAAACAAAACAAAACAAAACAAACTTCAGTTGGGTTCAGGGAGGCTGGTGGTAACTCTATCACGAACCTTTAGTACAGGATCTTTGCATCACTTCTTCCGTGGGAAGGCTAGCAGTGGCAAAGCTCACAGAGACCCTGCGCCTTTGAAGGCACAGGGGCAGTAAGGATATCCTGTGGAGTGCCCGAAGTGCCTAAACCCCAGTCCTCGGGGGGCTCCAGAGTTCCCTGCACCAAGCCATGTGCAAGGGTTTGTATACCATGAGGGTACACAAAAGTACCTGAACGAGCCGGGTGTTTTTGCTGCTGGATCGAAGATGACAAGAAAGCAAGCCATGGCCAAGATGTGGAATACAGAAGCCCCAAATTACCAGGAATTAAATAAGAAGAGACTTCAAATTAAGTGCATTTGAAGGAAGAGAAGGGGAGGAAGAGGAAGATGGAAGATTCTATTTCTTATATACTCGACTTTGATCTATGGAAGGATTTCACGTCTGACTCCGTATTGCCCTTAAGTTCAGCCACATGACTTGTTTTGCCCAACCAAATACGGGCTTCTTACTTCCCTCGACAATGTGGTAGTACTATTTATCTGAGATGTGTTCCCTTTGAAATCCGATATGCCACTTAGGAGGCTCTGAATTAGAGTGGTTTTAGCATCTTCATTCTGAGTCCAAACATTCAGTCCAACGTGGGCATCAGCAGAGACGTGTGGTTATTTAAACATAATTTTAAAAAAAGTTAAATAAAATTAGAAATTCAGTTCCTCAACCACACTAGCCACTTTTCAAATACCCAAAGACCCTGTGTGGCTAGTGGCTACCATATCAGACAGTGTCAAATAGAACTTTCCCCATCGTCACGGTAAATTCTTTTGGGCAGCGCTAGTCTATAGAACAGAATTCAAAATACAGGATCCAGCAGAACAGAGAAAACTGAGCAGCAGGTGACAAAACTCAGTGTAATTATGGCCTGTTATTATTATTTTTTTTGATCTCTCCAGGCTACTCCCTTCACCTACTACATGGGAGGTTGTAGTATAGAATCTCTAAGCCATAAATTTTGGGGGATCAATGAATTGACCAAACGATTTGCTCAATAAACTGCTTTTGACCTGGGTATGCCTAAGCCTTCCAGCCTTTAATACATCCCAAATAATATTCAGTGCTATAGCTATAAATAAAGGGTATTACTTATCCTTTTTAGATTCCAATCACCTTTATATCTACAGGTATAAAATCTACACCATTGAGCCGTATCTGGTGTCTAAAGATTCTTTTAAACAAGGTGATAGATATTGCCACCTTTGGGCAGTATCAGTTCCAATGTTTCAGCTTTCTTGGATCTGTACCTTTGCCAGAGCTTTATCACAGGCAGACCGTATTTCCCTACCTAGTAACTTTGGACCTGACTGTGTGACTGATTTGGCCAATGGCACATGGGTGGAAGTGACATATGTCAACTCCAGCCTGTGCATTATGAGGCTTTGTACATTTTCCCTTTGTACTCTTCACCTTTTCCACCAATATTAAGAAGCACTTCACCTAGGTGCCCATTGTCCCTCACCCCGGGCTATTTAACAAACACTTGTGGAGCAGACCACCGCTGAAATGAAAGAAGTAATTGATGAATTCACTTTAGGACAGGTTATTTTTAAAAGATAAATAAAGCTAATAGATCTAAAGAAAGGGGAAAAGAAGCAAGACGGAGACACATCATCTTACGAACAAGAAAAAGGATTTAATCATAGGTGCAAAGAAATTATGAAAGAATGTGCAATTTTATGTTTATTTATTTTAAAATAAGCTCTGTTTTCACTCGGGGAAATATAAATTGCTACAGGTGTTTCAAAAGTGGGTGGCAAGA